AAAGTACATTGAGCTGGGAATGGCTGAAGTAGATTGAGATGAAGTCAAAGGAGCAAACTGTCAGGCTGTGAATTGACCTTTGTAGGCAGTATGTCTATGAAAAGAACTTTTTTTTTTCAGCCCTCTGTCAGAGAAGGACTTTTGTCAAGGGTATGGTAGTGGCAGCTGGTGACTGGAGGAGATTAAGGACTGGTGAACTGGCAGCATGGAGAAGACATGAAGACGTCCTCTCCACCCTACCTCAGGAAGGACAGACTTGTACTAGTATAACCAGGAAGCTGGCCTGGGATGTGCTAGCTCAGCCACTCTGCAGACACGCCATTGTAAATCCTGTAGGTAGATGTATGCTTAAAGATTCCAGATGCTTCCGAAAATGCCATGGTGCTAGTGCCAAGCACAAGAAAGGGGACTTGTCCCTGCATCCATGTTTCTTCTCCACTGCATTGTGTCTTGCAATGAACTGAGAAGGCCAGAAATGGAAAGGGTAGCAAGCAAGCATCATGAAAGGTAGCAAGTTTACACCTGCACCAGCCAAAGCCAGGCTCGCAGGTGGAGCCTTTGCCCCAGTATGTCCTGTCTGCCTGCTCTTCACACACAACAGCAAGGAAGTACTAGGCAGGTCTAATAGCAGTTGTATCGGGATTATTTTACTAGGCTTGAAAGTTTTGTCCTGCATCCCTAAAGAAGTCCTAAGGGCAGTTATCAGTGATAGGTACTGACACCTTTTGCTCTGAGGACCATCTTAGCCGTAGCCCAATTCAGTCTTCAAACTACCCACTGTGGTGTTTGGGGGAGACAAGTCACCATCTGCTCAAAGACCAGGTTCTCTGAGTTACAGCACGGGGAATTTTTGCTTGTTTGCTGAATTTGCCTTGACTTCCCTGGCGCTGAGACTCCTGTGCAGTCTTTGCTCTACAGCTGGATTTGGTTGTCATTGTACAGGATCCTCTGAGACTCGGCCTTGAGACCATGGCCCCTGCTAGCCCTCTTCTCTAGGCCTCCTGTGCCCTTGTAATCAGCATTCAGGGACATATTTATTGAGGCAGCACTGGAATTACCAGCAATCCAAAATACCTTTTGCTGAGTAATGGGAGTTACTCATATCCCAGTCAACTCCTGTAGTCATTTTCATGTCTTTAGCAGCTGTAAATGCATTGCATATACTTTAATGG